AAAAAAAAAAAAAAAAAAAAAAAAAAAAAAAAAAAAAAAAAAAAAAAATTACATTTATGTTTAAATCATTTTTCTCAAATTAGATAAAATTTAGTGTAAAATTGTGTTTAATACTATCTTTTAATTGAGAAAAATGTTTATAAATATATTAGATGCAAAATTTTGATTTTGTATTTAATATATGTGGATAGAAATTTTAAAAAATATATAATATACTATAAATTTATCAATATAAAATTAAAAATTTAAGAATATTCTCTTATATATTTTAAAGTTTGAAATTTATTAAAAATAAAATTAAACATTGATCCATCACTTTTATGGTTTAATATAAGTGGACGGTTCTAATAATTTTTTTTTAGTCGTAGGATGACATAACCTTTGAAAATTCAACAAAACCGGTAGCTTAAACATAAAAGAGCTCGAGGCTATGAAGAAGTATCACAACATACGGTTTGAAAAAAGGCAATGAAAGAAGAATTTATATCCTTAAAGTAAAATCAAACCTAGAAATTGGTGACAAGATTAAGAGATATAAAACTCATCTGTTACAAGTGAATTTACAAAATAAAGTGTGCCATGGATGAATCAATGAAAAGATACAAGACTCAACTTGTAGCTCGAGGGTTCTCTCAACAACATCGACTAGGCTATGATGAAACATTTAGTCTAGTGGTGAATATCACTATTGTATGGGTCCCACTAACGCTTGTGACAAGTAATATTTAAAAATTATGACAGATGAATGTGAATAATGTTTTCTTACGCAAAGAGGTTGATGGGTAGATCTATATCAACAAATCAAAGGAATTTGACAATGATGTTGGAGACATGAGATAGTATACATGTAAAGTCCCAAGAAGCCTCATTTGGATATGGCTCAATGGATCTTGAGATATGTCAAAGGTACAATCGATTATTGTTTTTTGTACAAAAAAATGTGAAGATCTGGCACAGTAGAAGTATTTATAAATATAATTAATTGTTGCAAATCGATCCTTTCTAAATTATTTATAATAACTGTAGTTAAATAAAAAATCCATTTTAATACGTGTCTTAAAAGTATATAATTCATCTTCTAATAAACAAATTTTTATGAATTCCTATTGGAGAGAGGGTGTTATGGATGAGCTAAGAACATCAACAAAGAACAAGCAAAGTCTTTAAAAAATCAATTCAAGAAGATAAAACAAAATAAGGTATGTCGTCATTTCCATCCCAGTATCAATAAAATATTATACAATTTGTCTTATACTTTTGTCTTTAAAATTTGTTAAATCCATATGTGAGAAAGTAACGATAAGAGACAAGACATCTTTAGTTAGCCAAAAGCCAATATTTGATGGAGATAATGGCCCAGTCAAAAGCTAGTATTCCACTAAGATAGTGGCTTAATTTCTTCGGGTGGCTGACATTAAAATTCTAGGGGTTAGAAGATTGTTTGGAGAGTAGTCCTATTGATTAACTAATAGATTGATCACCAGTTTAAAGTAAGGAACACATTTTGATTGGTGTGAGGCGTTTTGGGTAACAAAAAGTTTATGCTCAAAATGGACAATATCATATCATTGTGGAGAGTCGTGGTTTCTAACCCGATATCAAAGTCATGCCTTAACTTAGTCATGTCAATAGAATTCTCAAAATGTCGAACAAAAAAGTTGTGAGCCTCAAACGTGTATTCAAAAATGACTCAAGTGTCCTTTGTTTGAGAGCTCCAGAGAAGGAGTTGAGCCTCAATTAAGAAGAGGCTGTTCGAGGGCTTTATAGGCCTCAGCGGAGGCTCTATGGTATATTTTGTTCGAGGGGAAGATTGTTGAGAACCGTTTGGAGAGGAGTCTCACATCGACTAATTAAGGGGTTGATCATGGGTTTATAAGGAATACATCTCTATTAGTATGAGGCCTTCTAGAGTAACAAAAAATAAAGCCATGAAGGCTTATGCTTAAGTGGACAATATCTTACCATTATAGAGCGTCTGATTTCTAACATTGTGATGGTCTTAGGCTGTGAAAATAGGAAGTAATATCACAATCAATAGATTCTTTCAAGATTTGTAAGTGTAGATGATATAAAACAACACCCGCTCATGTCTGTACCGACACAACTCTGTCCTTTAGCGCATATATTTAGTTTGGTCAAGAACACTTGCTCGAGTAAAAGCTTCGACGACCAGTTGACCAAATTGAGGATCTTAAGGTACATGAGCAAAGCTCCTGTATGTATAAAGGGTCAATTGCTACATGAAACAGATTTTCGAAAGTACTCCACAAAAAAATTATTACTAATTGTCCAAATTGAAAAGCAAAAATATTCTGATAAAGACGTTTTTTAGTCATATCATCATGACTTGCAAAGTCATGCACAATATCAATACCAAACCAAATACGAAGAGTAGAAGGATCCCGAGCTAAACCATTAAAATCTTAGTGTCATAATGCCTTTCAAATTCTCGCGGCCATTTTCCAACTTTTCTCTTATAAGTATCCATTATTTCCTGTAGTGTATCAACGGCCAAAAAGACCATACACTAAAACCATTTAGATTTTCATACCTATGTTCAAAAATTTTGAAATAATTTTGAGAGGATGGCATTCTTCTTTTACTATCTCCAAGGGTAAAATTGTGGAACGGAGAAGCTAATTTCCGGCTATTCAATTGAAGAAATCCACTAGAATGATTTAAAGCCCTCCCTTCGTATCTCCAGTAGTCACGATTTTTTTTTAAATTTATCACATATAGCTTTGCCGAGTGTAGTCTCTGCCAGGCCTTCCATTCCACGAATCATTGTAATACCCAAAAATGTTACATGTAAGGGAAAGTTCCGAACCTGTTGTATTTTGGAATCAATTTCAACTGGGAAGTTCATTGCATGCAACATTCCACTGCAATATGATAAGCGGGAGACGTTTTGAGCAAAGGATTTGATAGCATCCCTGTGCCATTATCAACATCTTACATAAGAAAATAATATATATGAAAAGGAGAATAGTTTATTCCAAACAACACAAGAAACCAATCAATCAAGATGGCAAGGATGTAAGCTCACTCACCGGCTTGGCAATTCTTCTATGTCATCAAAATCTGTATATATAACCCCTGGCCCCTTAACATCAATTTGGGATATCCCATGGACCTCAAGGAGATGGACACCGCATCTTCTTATAGTTACATTAACCTCGTGACGTTTCAAAACTTCAAACCAAACTATAAAATCATTCCAATCATTCGCCAGTAAGGAGCTACTAAATGTTGGAGAAGTTGTTACTAACCATGTATATTCTGATGTTGATGGTAAGAACTTTCTCATAAAAGAATTTTGGAGTCTGTATCCGATGAATATGTTACATGAAATTAAGGCTTCCCCTTTATATGAATCTCCATCCACTCTGAACTTAGCATAGGTAGCCAAAGTTCTTTCTAAATTGTGATCATGTCGAAAGCTAACTTTTATTGAATTTGATATAGTCTGATAACTGAACCATTCTGGAATTTCAATGTTCATTAGAATGAACTCTCTAGGAAAGTCACGAGTGTAATGTCCTGTGACATAAGAATTAACATGCATGAAAATATTAATGAGAGAGAAAAATGCAACATAAACAAAGAGAAATGAAATGAGAAGAGATGAACTTGCTTGCTTGATATTATATCCAAAATGTTGTCTGGACTTTTAACCAAATCCCGTGGCATCCATTTTTTGTATACTCTGAGGAAGGTTTGGAATTTGTTGAAGAAACTTGCAATTCCTCAATTGGAGATTTCCCAAAGACATGAACTTATGGAGACACGAGGGTAGACTACAAAATTTGTTTTCCCACAAGAGTAGCCTATTTATGAAAGGGTTGACATCACATAAAGTTTCCAAAAAATCTGCATTTGATATGTTGCAAAATTGAAGATCTACCAAAGTGAAGTAGGGAAATTTAGGGTTTTTGAGTAAGTTTCCGCATATTGGATGGATTGATGAGTCCCATTTATGGGGAAACATTTCAAATCTAGAACACCCATCAGGCTCTTAATATTCCGTAACAAATAAATTAATTGTACTAGGAAGGGAGATAGGTTTGTGCAACCTTCAAGGTTTAATTTCGCGAGCCTAGTAAGGTTTCCCATTGATGAAGGTAGCTCCTTTATGCTGGTATAATCCAAATTCAATCAACCACAGTAACGATTTCATGTTTTCAGCAATTTTTGAAAATATTTCGAGTTTAGAGCAGTCAGAGAGTTCGAGATATTCAAGAGATTTTAAGTTGAGAAAGCTTCGAGTTCGAGATATTCAAGAGATTTTAAGTTGAGATAGCTTGGAAGCTTTTCAAGCTTAGTGCAATGTCTAAGTTTTAAGAAAATAAGATTATCTAAAGATCCAATAGACTCGTGAATAACTCTTAAATTTGTGCATTCGTTGAGATACAAGATTTCAAGGTTTAATGCGGTAGAGAAGTCTGGAATTTCCCGAAGCTTGTTGCAGTGATTGAGATTCAAATCAATAAGAGATTTCAATGGAAGGTAACTTGGAAGCTTTTTAAGGTTTGAACATTTTTCAAGGTCCAAGGTAACAAGTTTATCTAGAGATCCAATAGACTCGTGAATCATTCTTAAATTTGTGCAGTCTTTCAAATACAATTTTTCAAGGTTTGATGCTGTAGAGAAGTTTGGAAGTTCCTCGAGTTGTTTGCAGTAGCTGAGCTTCAAAACTTTTCAAGACTTCAACATGAGGTCGCTTGGAAGCTTTTTAAGGTTCGAACAGTGATTAAGGTCTAAGAGAACAAGCTTACCAAGAGAAACAACTGACGAATGAATTGTTTTTAAATTTGTGCAGCGACTAAGATACAATTCTTCAAGGCTCGATAATATAGAGAAATCAGGAATTTTCTCTAATAAATAGAGCAACTAAAATCAACCATCTTCAACCTTTTACCATCCTAAAATGCATACAACAGAGAAGAAAAAAAAACATGTATAGATAAAATATAATTATTTAAGTTTATAAATGATCTAGTTCTTAAAATTTGTTATCATATTAACAATTTTTTCTTTTCGTACATAAATATATACTTGTACTTTTTTTTAAGCTACCCATAAAATTGTTTTAAGAAGAAACTTTCTAAACACAATGAAAATATAAATACCTTCCATCCTTCCTCCAAATTTCCAAATTTCTGATGCGACTATATTGCCAATGCTCACTTATGGGCTTGACAATTCTGTGGTAGAGTTGTAGATCAAAATCTGTAATGACTACTTTAGTAAGATGGACACCAGAATATTAAAGTTGCAGTAACCGCAAAACATTTCAAAACGTTAAACCAAGTAATAACATGAAACCAATCATTTGTGACTAAGGAAGTATTAAAATTTAAAGTAGTTGATATTAACGACATAGATGATGATGAAAATTCTCTCTTACAAGAACTTTTGAGTCTGTCATCGTAGAATATGTTAAATGAAATTATGGTCTGTCCTTGATCTGGATGCTTTTCTATTTCTTTCTAGATAGTGTTGAAAGCTAACCTTAATTTGCATTTGATTTGATATAGTATGATAGTTCAACCTTTTTTTAGAATTTCTCCACTCATTAGAATGAAACGTCTACAAATGCCTTTAGTGACCTATATATAAAGAATATTACAAACTCGAAGAAGAATTGAAATGAGAATAAAAATGAAATGAAGATTGTCAAAGATATTATGGGTTGATGCTGTAACTACGACAACCTATTTGACCAATAGAGGATCGTTAGTACCCTTAAAAAAAAGACAAGTTTGATGTTAGATTGTAAAGTTTTACACGTAGACTATGGTTCTAACATGTTCAGTTACATATTTTGGAAGGATATGAAAAAGAAAAATTGCGAGACATTGTATTGTGACTTTTGATGAAATATCATGTATAAGAACAAAGAGAAAGAAAGGTTATGAGATTAATTGAGCAGAAAAACTCACCAACACAATCTTACATTAAGTTTTATCGTATAATTAATTTCACTAACTTGACCATTAAATGTTTGTGTGAGCTTGCTAGAGAACTTTATAGCCTCGCCGATTATAAGCTCAAACAATATAAAATTAATTAGTTAAATTTATTAATCAAATTATTTTTATTAATTAACTCAACATTAACCGCTTTGGCCTGTTACCTATGGTCGTCAGCTTCACAGTTATAAAATGGGTTTGTTAAGGAGAGGTTTCCACCACCGTATAAGGAATATTTTATTTCTTATCCAACTAATGTGGGATCTCACGATATCATTTCACTCCTCCAAGTGTTTATAAGTATAATTAATTGATGCAAATCGATCCTTCACAAGTTTATAATAACTGTAGTTGATTAAAAAATTCATTTGAATACGCATATGTTCCTAAATCATACGTCTTAAAACATATAATTCATCCTCTAATAAACAAATTTTTATGAATACCTATTTGAGAGAAGGTCCTACTGATGAGCTAAGAACATTGACAAAGAGCAAGCAAAGTCTTTAAAAAATCCATTCTAAGAAGTAAAAACAAAATAAGGGTGAGTAGTCATTTCCGTCCTAGTATAAAAAAGTATTAATAAAATATTATAAAATTTATCTTATACTTTTATCTTTAAATTTTTTTAAATCCATATGTGATAAAGTAACTATAAGAGAAAAGGCCCCTTCGATTAGCCAAAAAGCCAATATTTGACTGAGATAATGGCACAACCAAAAGGTAGTATTCCACTAAGATAGTGGCTTAATTTCTTCTAGTGGCTGACATTGACTAATTAATGGGTTGATTATGAATTTATAAGTAAGGAATATATTTACATTGAAGTGAGGCCTTTTAGGTAATAAAAAATAAACCCATAAGAGTTTATGCTCAGAGTGGACAATATCACATCATTGTGGAGAGTCGTGGTTTCTAACATGGTATCAATATCATGCCTTAACTTAGCCATCTCAATAAAATTTTAAAATGTCGAACAAAAAATTTGTGAGCCTCGAAGGTGTAGTTAAAAGTGACTAATTGTCCTTTGTTTGAGGGCTCCAAAAAAAGAGTCGAGCCTCAATTAAGAGAAGACTGTTCGAGAGCTTCATAGACTTCAGCGGAGGCTCTATGGTGCACTTTGTTCGAGGGAAAGATTGTTGAGAATTATTTGAAGAGGAGTCCCACGTGGATTAATTAAGAGATTGATCATGGGTGTATAAGTAAATAATACATCTCCATTGGTATGAGACCTTTTGGAGTAACAAAAAAAAAAAGCCATGAGAACTTATGCTCAAAGTGGATCATGATTTCCAACACTGTGATGGTCTTGGGCGGTGAAATAAGAAGTAATATTTTAAAAACCTTGAGGAGAAATTCGGAAGGAAAAACTAAAAAAAACAGTACTTAATAGCGATAGTGAAATAATAACTAATAGCGGTAGTGAGATAGGACGTAAAAAAACTCAAAAAACAATAACTAATAGCCGTAGATTTGGTCTCTTACGCCAAGAACAGAGAGCAAACAAACATTTCCCTGTAAGTAAATTAGTTTTAACAATTACTTTTGATATTTTATTAACCTTGTGCGGACCAACTTTGATCAATAATTTTCGAGAAACTTTCACAACATCTTTAACTGTGATGTTTCTCTTTGATCACACGATGTTGATGGTGGGGTCCAAATCTGTAATAATACACTAAAGAAATTCAGAAGCCGCCACACATATTAGGTCTTCAACTTTTATCATTAAAAGATCACTGAAACTAGTTTCAATCAAAACGGTCTAAATTCGAAATTATTTTCTGTGCGTTGCTTTCTGATGGGTTCTTCCATTGCTTTGGCTGATTCATGGGCTTTGTTTCCAAATTTGGAGTGGAGTTACGATGTGTTTTTAAGTTTTAGAGGAGAGGATACTCGATCCAATTTCACCAGTCATCTTGTCATGGCCTTGCAGCAAAAAGGAGTCAATGTTTTCATAGACGACAAGCTCAACAGGGGTGAGCAAATTTCTGAATCTCTTTTTCGATCTATAGAGGAATCTTTGACTTCTATTGTTATATTCTCGAAAAATTATGCATATTCTTCTTGGTGTCTGGATGAGTTGGTGAAAATAATGGAATGTAAGAAATCCAAGGGCCAAATAGTTTGGCCAATTTTCTATAAGGTGGATCCATCGGATGTACGAAAACAAACTGGAAGTTTTGGAGAAGCATTTACCACACATCAAGCTAAGTTCAAGACGAAAATCCAAATTTGGAGAGATGCTTTAACTGCTGCAGCTAACTTGTCTGGTTGGGATCTAGGAACCAGGTACATATCTTTAAGAAATTTAACTCCATCTACCCTCAACATCCAATATTTATTATCTTTAATTTCAATATGTTTACATGGTCAACAACAGGAAGGAGGCTGATCTTATTCAAGATCTTATTAAAGAAGTATCGTCCATACTAAAACCTACTTGCATGTCCTTATATGTAGCAAAGTATCCCGTTGGAATTGATTCTCAACTAAAAAAGTTAAGGTCAAACTTCAATTATTGGACACAAGATGAGCCTAGTATTAGTGTTTACATGGTGGGGATATATGGGATGGGAGGCATTGGTAAGACAACTTTGGCCAAAGCTTTATACAACAAAATAGCTTACCAATTTGAAGCTTGCTGCTTTCTATCAAATGTTAGGGAAGCTTCAAAGAAATTCAATGGCCTTGTTCAACTTCAGGAAACCTTACTCTATGAAATCTTAAAGGTAGATTTGAAGGTTGACAATCTTGACAGAGGAATCAACATCATAAGGAATAAACTACGTTCAAAGAAAGTTCTTATAGCTCTTGATGACGTGGATAAACTTGAGCAGTTAGAAGTATTGGTTGGTGGACATGATTGGTTTGGCGCTGGTAGTATTATCATTGTGACAACAAGAAACCGTCATTTACTTTCTATCCATGAATTTGATCAAAAGTATCGTATTCAAAGAATGAATCTCAATGATGCCCTTAAACTTTTTAGTTGGCATGCTTTTAAGAAAAGTCATCCACCAAGTACATATCTAGACCTTTCAAAACGTGCTACAAGTTATTGTAAAGGTCATCCACTGGCTCTTGTTGTTTTGGGTTCCTTCCTTTGTACTAGATACGACCAAGCAGAATGGGCAAGTATATTAGATGAATTTGAAAACTCTTTGAACAAAGACATCAATGATATTCTTCAAATAAGTTTTGATGGACTTGAAGAAAAAGTAAAGGAGATTTTCCTTGATATTTCTTGCTTCCTAGCTGGAGAGAAAGTTGACTACGTTAAGAATATTTTGAACGCATGTCATTTCAATGCAGATTTTGGAATTATAGTCCTTATGGATCTTTCACTTATTATAGTTGAAAATGATAAGGTGAAAATGCATGATTTAATACGACAGATGGGTAAAAAAATAGTCAATGGAGAATCTTCTGAGCCGGAAAAAAGGAGTAGGTTGTGGTTGGTACAAGACGTTTTGAAGGTGTTAAGTGATAATTCAGTGAGTAACACTTACCCAAACTTTCTTTAATTTACTTCGTGATAGAAAATGTTTGTTGAAGTGAGTTGTTAGTAATGTTGAATTACTAAACTACGAGTTTGCAGGGAACAGATGCAATTAAAGCCATAAAGTTGGAGTTACCTAAACCCACACGGTTGGATGTGGATCCTCGAGCTTTTAGAAACATGAAAAACCTAAGATTGTTAATGGTTGGAAATGCAAGATTTTCCACTGATATTAAATATCTACCGAATAACTTAAAGTGGATTAAATGGCATGGATTTGCTCAAAAATCTTTGCCATCTTCCTTTATTACAAAAGATCTCGTTGGATTAGATTTGCAACATAGCCTCATCCGAAATTTGGGGAAAGAATTGAAGGTAATTATATTTCTACATCTATGATTTGAAGATTTTCATTGATTTTCTTATAATAATATTTTATATAAATTATATTTTTCTCTTCCATGTATTTTAGGATTGTCAAGGGTTGAAGTTCGTTGATCTTAGTTACTCTACTTCATTAGAGAAAATTTCTGACTTCTCTGCAATATCGTCAAACTTTATAGAATTGTATCTTAGCAATTGCACAAAATTGAGAACCATTCCTACTTCAATTGCTTCTCTTGATAAGCTTGTTGCCTTAAACCTTAATCATTGTTTGAATCTTAAAAAGCTTCCAAACTATCTCATGTTGAAGTCTCTTAAAATTTTGAAACTTGGTTACTGCCAAAAACTTGAGGAACTTCCAGACTTCTCTCCATCATCAAATCTTCAAAAATTATATCTCAATAATTGCACAAAATTAAGAGTGATTCCCGAGTCTATTAGAGCTTTAGATAGTCTTCTCACCTTGGACCTTACAAAATGCACTAACCTTGAAAAGCTTTCAAACTACCTCGCGTTAAAGTCCCTTGTATATTTAAAACTCTCGGGCTGTTCTAAGCTTGAAAAGTTTCCAGAAATTGATGAAAACATGAAATGTTTAAGGTTTTTGGATTTGGATTTCACGGCCATAAAGGAGCTACCTTCATCAATTGGATGCCTTAATGAGCTTTCTGTGTTGGACCTTGAAGGTTGCACAAACCTCATCTCCCTTCCTAGTACCATTTATTTGCTACCAAATCTTCGTCATCTTCGTCTTAATGGGTGTTCTAGAATTGAAATGTTACCCAATAAATGGCATCCAACCAACGATCCAGTATGCTCTTCTCCAAATCACAAACACTTTGTCGAGTTCACAATTTCCGAGCTTGAAAATTGCAAAATATCAAATGCGGATTTTATGAACATGTTGTGTGATGTCGCCCCTTTCTCATCTGGTCTACTCTTATCGGAGAACAAATTCTCTAATCGAATGTTGTCGGAAAATAAATCCTCTAGTCCACCTTCATGTCCCCATAAGTTTAAGCCGTTATGGAATCTCGAGTCGAGAGACTCAAAACTTTCCTCCACGTTCCCAAGAAATGGATGCCACTGGTTGTTGATCGTTGAGTAGAAGATCAATCAGGTTCATCTCTTCCCATTTCATTTCTCTTTTCTAACCATTTCATTTCTCTTTTCTAAGTTTGTACTATTCTTATGCTCTATAGGTCATTACAGGTATTCATAGACATTTCTTCTAATCAACGGAGAAATCCTGAAAAGGTGTAGCTATCGGACTATATCAAATCCAATGAAGGTTAGCTTTCGATACTATCTCAACATAGAAAGAACTTTGACTACCTATGTTATGTTCAAAGTGGACGAAATAGAAAAGCAACCAGATCAAGGGCAGACCATAATTTCCTTTAACATATGTTATAGTGATCGACTCAAAAGTTCTTGTAAGAGAGAATTTCCATCGGTAACGTCAGAATATATTTGGTTAATATCTACTACTTTTTCAAATTTTAGTACTAATTCAATGGCAAATGACGGGGAATCATGTTATAGTCATTCTTTGTGGTTATTGTAACTATAAAAAAAAATTTGGTGTCCAGTTGCTGAAGATGTTAATGAGATAGAAAATGATGTTGGATGGTCAGGGATAATTTATACAAATTTTGATCGACCCGAAGAATTGCCATGCTCGATGAGTGAAATGACATCCTTACCAACTTTATTGGTTCGTTTATTGTGTTATTAGGTTACTTTCATTCTTTTACTAAAATACTTCATTCCTAAATTCTATTTATTCTTAAAATATCTAAATCATTTTCTTAAAATACATAGATAATTGGTTCTTACAATTATTAAGTTGAATGGTTTGTGATGATATTTTAACACACTACCCAATTTAGACATATCTTATGCTGGTATATTTCTATGCTTGTATATTTCTAATGATAATAGATGAGAAAAATTGGATCATCTTTCTCGATTTATAGATACACTTTTTTAATTTTGCACCAAAGAGGAATCAAGGTTAGTGAGGAAGAAGAAATTTACAAATCTTTTTTTAGAAGTCATTGTTTTATCTACTCACACAAACAAACAAACAAAGTATAATCAATTCAACTCTATTCATCATTTTAATGTTTTTGTAAGTTTACAAGAGAACTTTATCACATTATTGATTATAAACTCCAACCACACAAAATTAATGTGTAACGACCCGAAATTTTCTACTTAATTTAAGGTCGCTACTGTATACATACCATAAATATTGAATGCGGAAGACTTCATTTAAATTCCATAAAACATAACCTTTATCTTAAAACACAGCCATGGACTTACGTGTTTCGAAAACATCTTTAAAATGACACAACAAAAGACTCGAAATAAAATAAATAAACGTTTAAGTTTAAAACATCCTATTCTATCCTAAGTCTAAGAAAATAAATGCCACTATCCTATGCATGTGCCATGATCTCGAGTTGCGATGTCGTCGTTAGCCGTACAGGAATGCCTTGCCTTAACCTGAAAAATGTAGTAGCACATGGCTTGAGTATTTAAAGAAATACTCAGTAAGTGACCCCACTATTGGGGTTAAATGCAACAATCACATGCAATGAAATGATGGGACCTATCTTTCGTTTCGTTTCATTTCGTTTCGTTTCGTTTCCCCTACGGTGTAATCCTAACAGGTAATCGTGGACGTGTACCATATACTCTAACGTAGCCCATACGTGCGAGTATGGGCTCACCAGCTAGTTCGCACACCGCTGGGTCACTGTCCCTAGCCGGTGGGCATGCTCTAGGGGCCCACCGGGACCCGTTAAAACTAAAACCGTCATGGCAGCGCTATGCAGGGCATAACGGTCATTGTCCTGCCATTTGGATGTACGCGTCCGTACCCTCGTGATGGGATAGGGGTATCCCCCCAAATGCATGATCACACAATATGCATGAGGTCCCACTAGTCCTACAGTCATCATTTAATGAACATAACCCCGTGTCGCATTTTCATGCTTACATGCCATTCTCATTTCGTTACATATCATTCATATTCCTAGCGGGGTTATGTATCATGCAATTTACCGTATTTCATGTCATACAATTCATTCAGTTACATTCCAATACTCATACAACAAGCCATAATCGTACAAGGGCCACACATCGTCACATACATTCATATCACATCAACTAAGCAGCATAAATAACATACATTCACGTTCACTTGATTTCGTACTTAAGCACAATAATCTAGCATACAATGTATCATATCATAACCAAGTCATAACGTAAACACTTCATAGTCATATCGTTCTCTAACTTACCATAGCCTTAACGTTCTTATACCTATCACAGACATATCATTACGTGACGTACCTTAGTCATATCGTCACAAGAATGTACCCTAACGCTATCGTTCTATCAATCTATCACAAACCTATCCCTTTCTACCCATAACCTAACCGTATTCTTTCATCAATCTCTCCTATCCATAGCACTCCGGTATGTAACCTAACTCTAATGTTTCATGAACGTATCTTACTCCTATCGTTACATTTCGTTTTGTGCATCCTTCTCGTACCCTATCTCAAACATATCCTTGAGCACATCGTACCATAATTATTATCATACAAACCACATATTATAACATAACATAACATATAGGAAGCATATCGATTTACAAACAATTCACACATATCAATATATATGACACGTACAGAACCACAGGGCACGTGTCAACATCAAATATAACCATGTCGATAGTAAGGTCACTTACCTGGCTCGCTTAAGTCATTGTCACAAATATATCTTTAATGAAAGTTCGATTCCGTCCTTTGAAATCCGAGTCAACCTATATGAGCTCATGACATCAGTTTCAAGTATGAACTCTATAAAATTATTTCCCTAATTTTCATTGGCCATCTTAAAATTTTGATCTTTTCTATTAGACAAAATTTAAAGAAGCTCCCTGCCCGCTGATAAAAATTTTGATGTTTTCTGTTAGACAAAATTTAGAGGGGCGATATTTCCTTTTATTACTAAATACTGTTTAACAAATCTTTCCTCAATCTCCCTCCCTCTTTCCTCAAGTTTATTGCAATAAGAGAGATCCAAATATTCAAGAGACTTCAACATGAGGTAGTTTGGAAGCTTTTTAAGGTTCGAACAATGATGAAAGAATAAGAAAACAAGCTTATCTAAAGATCCAAGCGAGTAAATTATTCTTAAATTTGTGCAGTAATTGAGATCCAATATTTCAAGGTTTGATAGTGCGGACAAGTCTAGAAGTTCCTCAAGTTTATTGCAATAAGAGAGATTCAAATCTTTGAGAGACTTCAACATGAGATAATTTGGAAGCTTTTTAAGGTTCGAACAATAATTAAGGTCTAAGGTTACAAGCTTCCCAAGAGAAGCAACTGATGTAGAAATTATTCTTAAATTTGTGCAGTTGCTAAGATACAGTTCTTCAAGGCTTGGTGATGCAGAGAAGCCTCGAATTTTCTCTAAAAAAAGTAGAGTAACTAAGATCTACCAGCTTCAACCTTTTACAATCCTAAATACATGAAGAAAAAAAAAAGTAAATAAAGATCTAAGGTAATTTAGGTAGAATACAATTATTTAAAGATCTGTTTCTTAAAAAAAAAAAAAAAAAAAAAAAAAAAAAAAAAAAAAAAATTTTTTTTTAAANATATACATATTTTTATTTTTATTTTTTAAGCCATCCATTAAACATTTAAAATATATATATATATAAGGAAAAACTTCCAATCACAGTAAAAATATAATTACCTTCCATCCTTTCTCTAAATTTCGGATGCCACTATGTTGCAATTCTAATCCAACTAGATTTTTTGTCATAAAACATGATGGTAGAAAGTCTTGAGTAAAATTACTCCACCTCGTCCACTTTGTGCTATTCGGTAGATACTTCAGATTTGTAGAAAATTCTACATTTTTAACCATAAGCAATTCCAGATTTTTCAATTTCTTAAATGCTCGTGGATTCACATCTAGTCTCGTGGGATTAGGCAACTCCAACTTTATGGCTTTAACGGCCTTTGTTCCCTGCAAGCTCATAAATTTAGTAATTTAACAATATTTTCCATCACAAGGTATAGGAAACGAGTAATTTTAAAGTAAGTTTGGGCAAGGGTTATTCACCCCGTTATCAATAAGCACCTTCAAAATATCATGTTCTAACCACAATCGGCTCCTTTTTCTGGGCTTAGAAGATTCACCATTGACTAATTTATAACCCATCCGACATATTAAATCATGCATTTCCACTTTATCATTTTCAACCATAATAAGTGAAAGATCCATAAGGACTATAATTCCAAAATTTGCATTGGAATGACGAACATTTAAAATATTCTTATCGTAGTAACTTTTTCTCCCACTAGAAAACAAGAAATATCTAGGAAAATCTCCTTTACTTTTTCTTCAAGTCCATCAAAACTTATTTGAAGAATATCACTTATGTCTTTGTTCAAAGAGTTCTCAAATTCATCTAATATACTTCTCCAATCTACTTGGTCATCTCTCTTACAAAGGAAAGAACCCAAAACAACAAGAGCCAAGGGATGACCTTTACAGTAACTTGTAGCACGTTCTGAAAGGTCTAAGTAATTACTCAGTGGATGACTTTTCTTAAAAGCATGCCAACTAAAAAGTTCAAGGGCGTGATAATGATTCATTCCTTGAATACGATACTTTTGATCAAATTCATGGACAGAAATCAAATGATTGTTTCTTGTTGTCACAATGATCATACTACCCGCTCCAAACCAATCATGTCCACCCACCAATGCTTCTAGCTGCTCAAACTTATCCACATTATCGACAACTATAAGAACTTTCTTTGAACGAAGTCTATTCTTTATGACGTTGATTCCTTTGTCAACATTGCCAACCTTCAAATCTTCCTTTAATATCTCATGGAGTAGGTGCTCCTGTAGTTGAACAAGACCGTTGAATTGGTTTGAAGCTTCCTTAACTTTTGATAGAAAACAGCAAGCTTCAAATTGGTTGGCAATTTTGTTGTATAAAGCTTTGGCCAAAGTCGTCTTACCCATGCCTCCAATCCCATATATCCCCCACCATGTAAACACCATTACTAAGCTCATATTGTGGCCAATGATGGTAGTGTAACCTCATTTTTTCTAGTTGAGAATCAATTCCAACCGGATACTTGGCTACATATAAGGGCGTGCAAGTAAGATTTAATATCGACCATACTTCTTTTACAAGGTCTTGAATAAGATCAGCCTCCTTCCTGTTGTCAACCATATAATCATATTGAAATTAAAGATGATAGATATTGAATGCTAAGAGTAGATGGAGTTAAATGTCTTAAAAATATACCCTGTTCCTAGATCCCAACCAGACAAGTTAGCCACAGCAGTTAAAACATCTCTCCAAATTTGGATTTTGGTCTCGGACTTAGCTTGATGTGTGGCCAATGCTTCCCCAAAACTTCTAGTTTGTTTTCGTACATTCGATGGATCCACCTTATAGAAAATTGGCCAAACTATCTGGCCCTTAGATTTCTTACATTCCATTATTTTTACCAATTCATCCAGACACTAGGAAGAAGATACATAATTTTCAGAGAATATAACAATAGAAATCATAGCTCCCTCTATAGATCGGAAAAGAGAATCAGAAATTTGCTCACCCCTGTTGAGCTTGTCGTCTATGAAAACGTTCACTCCTTTTTGCCGCAAGGCCAGTTCAAGATGATTGGTGAAATTGGATCGAGTATCCTCTCCTCTAAAACTTAAAAACACATCATAATTCCACTCTAAATTTGGAAACAAAGCCCATGAATCAGCAGAACCCATCAGAAAGAAACACAAACAAAATAATTTCGAAAATATTGGGAAAACACTTCAATTTAGAGCGTTTTGATTGAAAGTAGTTTGAGTGAAATTTTAATGATAAAATTTGAAGACATAATCTGTGCGTGGGTGAAATTTCTCGACGGCTTCCTTGGCTTTGCCTTTTGAATTTCTTTGATGTATTATAACAAATCTCGACCCCATCCTATGAGAAAAAGAGAAGCATCAAAGTTGTGAAAGTTTATGGGAAATTATGGATCATACTTTTGTCCCCACAATTAGAATAAAATATCAAAAGTATTTTTTAAAACTATACGATGGAAATGTCTCACCATATTTCATTTTTTCACAGCTTCTCTACATGTTTCATACATTGAACAACAAAGTTTCCACTCTCTCTACATGTTTCATTCATTTTCAACGAGGCTCTTATCTGATATCATCTTCTTTTATATCATTCACCCTTACAAATCTCAGAAAGTTATTGCTTGTGATATTACTTCCTATTTTATTAGCTTTTAGTTGTGCCATTATCTCTGTGGAAAACTGGCTTTTGGCTAATCGAAGGGGCCTTGTCTCTTATGGTTAGTGTAGTGCACCACTAGTAGATATTGTTGTTTTTAAATTTTAACTTTTGGACTTCAAAAGACTGTTCGTTAGTGAGAGGTTTCTACACCCTTATCAAGAATCCTTCTTCTCACCTCGGACGAATGTAGATCTCAAGTTACTTTATCACATATGAATTTAACAAATTTAAATCAATTTTATTTAAATTGTTTGCTGTCTCTTTGTCCATGTTCTTAGCTCATCCCTAAAACCTTCTCTCCAATAGGGAATCATAAAAAATTGTTTATTAGAGGATAAATTATATGCTTTTTAAAGCATATGATTTAATTACACATGTATTCGAATGGATTTGCAATTATAACTTATTTGTGAATAGTGGGTTTTCATGAATTAATTATTTTTATAAACAATGGGAGGAGTAAAATGGGTTTGAATTAATCAATGAGAATGATTTATTAATAATTTTAGCAAATTAATTTTATATTGTTTGAGTTTATAATTTGTAAGGCTATAATGTTATCTTGTATCCTCACAAAAACATTAAAAAAAAGTCAATTGAGTTTTGCTTGAATTAAATGATGTAAAAGGTGATATGGATAAAAAAAAATTATGTGAATTAGATAAAACTTAGGGTAAAATTGTGTTCAATTACAATGGTGATGATAGAGATACCTCGAAAAAATTTCAAAGAAAAAACCTGAGGAAATTGCCAAGAAATTGCACTTACACACCTTTATATCTTGAATCGAAGAAAAAAATAATAGAAATTGAATCAAGGATAAGATTTGTATTACTTTGATGATTCTCTTTTCTCACGTGATGGGTCCAAATTTGTAATAATGTAAAGAAATTCAAAAGGTAAAGCCATATTATGTCTTCAACCTTTGTAATTTATTTCATAGTTTAGTAAAGATTCTAAGTGGGTTAGTGAAAAGCATAAAAAAGTTAGATGTGATATTTTATATTTAATAATATTAGATAAAAAATATAAATCAAATGTTCTAAAAGATTAATTTTAGTGTATATTTTCAACCTATACTATCATACTCTAAACTTAGAATAAATATATGTCTAGCATAAAATTAATAGGATTATAATCTTTATTTTAAATCTAGTTTGAAATTAATGATTTTTTTAAGAAGATAATATATTATAGTTTAAAAATAAATGGTTGATTTTTGTAGTATACACAATCATCGATTCAGTGAGTTAAACATACTTATTTCTAAAATCTTTTGAAACCTCCAAAAATTCACAACGCCCGTGTCTTGCAAGGCAGGCATTGGATCTCAACATAATCATTTTCGGCAAAAAATAATTCAATGATTTAAAATATTTTGAGATACACTATATTGAAATATTTACATACCAATAGACTTGAAATTTCATAAATACAAATTCAACTAGGAGAAAAAATACGTATCAACATTACTATATTCCACTGAGCCTATGGTCACACCACATGCTAGTTGATTGGATGTTACCTAAAAAGACTTCAAGAAAGCTTTCACTAGAGACATTGGATACGTCCAGAAAAGAAAGGTTTTTGGTTTTCTTTTTTGCCTCGTGCCATGTGGAGTATTCGACAAGGTGGCCCGTTATCCCTATGATTAATGATGTTTACATTAGGTTCTTGTCTTTAGTAAAAGATAGGAGATTAAACGAACATCTATTAGCCTAGTGGTCGACAATGGTAGTAGGGCTTAGAGATGGAATGATTTCAAGTAATGGAAGAGGCACTACAAGAAATAAGTGAAAAGGATCTTCTACGAGGTCATAAAACAGTCCTGACTCTTAAGATATCACAATCATCCCACCTAAACCATACTCATATGCAAGCTAACCAAACATTGGAACAATTTGTTACTAACTAGAAAGATATCACAATCTTTTGTCATCCCACCTAAACCATACTCATATGCAAGCTAACCAAACATTGGAACAATTTGTTATAACTAGAAGAGGAAACTTACAACATCAACCAAGATATAACGCATAAAGAAAGTTAATTTGTTATAACTAGAAGAGGAAACTTACAACATCAACCAAGATATAACGCATAAAGAAAGTTTAGTACATTATCTTTTTACCTCGATAATTAACTGCTCTATTCACAATGAAAATTTTGTACATTTTTTCTTAGATCTATAGTAGAGCGCATATAAATTTTCTACAAGAAAACACCAAATATTAGTAACTTGAACCTTTCAATAAGTGGCATTCATTTTTTTTTTTTTTTTTTTTTTTTTTT